GAAAAATGAAGCTTGATACCCACTGTACCACCACGTTCGGTAGGATACACAGGAGATCTGAGAAAACTGACGTCTTCAGCTTATTACAAAAACAAAGTCATTAGCGTTGTAATCTGGTCCTTAACACAAATTATGTTCTTTGTTCATCTAATGTCTGTAAACATGTAATTTAGAGGTCATTTGTCATTTAATTTCTACCTTGACAGACCTGGGGAAATACGCTGGTTCGCACAGACAGCTGCGTCTCGTATAGTGCGTCTGATCGCGTGACGATCACTACTATGATTAATCTTATAAAGACGACAATTTTTGTATATTCACTTATCTCCAAATATACGTTTAATATATTTATGAGTCGATCGTGGCATCTGAGTAATTAACGCTTGTGTTTCATAGGGAATCTCAGCTCGGAGACAGGCTCTGTTCTCAATATTTTCGTGGTTTCCCTCAGTGACTCCATGCATACGCTGGGATACTGCCTTAAATTAGGCCACGACGTCTTTCTCCCACATTATTTCCGATTAATTAATCGTTCTATCATTCGATATTACAGAGATGTACCACCTAAATTTCGACCTCAAAGAAGTTTCTCATTTTAGTAATAAAATATTAATTACGGTATTATTGAAATTATTAAAGGTACTTTTTTAAAGGAACAATTTTTATTTTTAAGCTGGAATTGCAGCAAGATTTTTGACATTAATTTTTTTATGTACTGTTACTGAGATGTGGCCAGCCATAGTATGAGACAAATGCGGAGTTAAATCAGGCGAATGTGGTGGCAGAACCTCTCTGTCCGTTCATGGATCGTCAAATGAAGAATGGCCAACAATACGGTCGCCAGTGAATATTTTCAACAGACCAGTAAAGAATGTTCCTCAAATTGATTTGGCCATCGTTTGTAAAACAAGCTTCATCAGTAAACAAAACATTTCGAAAGAACTCATTATTATTCTGAAACTGATTAATTGCAGACTCGCAGAATTCGACAAGAGGTTAAAGTCATTTCCACGGCGTTCCTGGTGCAGTGACAGATCGTACAGGAGAGATTTATGACAGTTCAGAATTCGAATTAACACTTGAACGAATGATTCCAGAGCCTCGTGAAATCTGCCTCGCACTAGTACGTGCTAGGATGACGACCTGCTCGATTCCAGCTTCCCTTTGCCAACAGCTTTCGACAGATTTTGTCGATTGTACGAGACGACGGAATATTTAAACCAGGATATCTTTCATTGCACACCTTCGCTCTCACTTCATTCCTTCTACATTCATCGTAAACGAGAATTATGTAAATTATTCTTGATTATATTACGTCTCCAGCGAACCCTAAAACCTGTATAAAGTATTACATTAAACTGAACATAGAAGTACTTCGGACCACGTCAAGTAAAACCGTGTAGTTGACCTCTAGTACCCTCTGTTGATAAAAAGTATCACTGACGTATATGGCGTCATCGGTAAGACGTCACGTAAGGAAAGAGACTGCGAGGAAAAGTGGCTGAAGCGGTCGTTGTTGAAACTTGGATAAAAAGCAATCAGAAGAACGCTGGGTGATGAATGTGGGGTGGGCCGACTGTATTCGTGTGCTTCTCGGCTGGCTTTGGTCGGGTACGTAATGGTTGAGTTTATTAAAATGTTTCTATTTGTTTTCATTAAACGGGCGTGTCAATATTTTCGGAACAGTCTGTAAATCTTACAGCCGAGTGAAGTGGTTCTCGTCAGACTCCCGGTGGCTGAATGGTAAAATGTGACAACAATGCTCCAGTACTAAAATATAGAAGCGCTGCCAAGCTGCAACTGAAGACTGTCCCCTCCCAGCTAATGTTATTGGCTGTTGTTTGTCCCAGCGAAGGTCAGGCTTTATAAGAGAAGGAATGAACAAAAGTTATGTATAATGCAAGTGCAGACCTGTGCTGTCCAGTGTGAATCAAAATTACATTTTGCTGATGGATGAGTAATTGTCCCTGTTCCTAATTTAATTCCTCAAGGTTTCTAGAAAGCAAATCTTCGAGGTAGTCGCAATGTCAATGAGACTTCGTTTCGCTTTTGTTGGTTATAAATTATTCCAGAAATCATAATCTGAATGAAATTATCACAGGAGATACACGTATACGTGGGGAAACTAACAAAGTTAAATCGATCCTTTGACCACAATCAAAATAACTAGTGCTGTAAAATGTGTGTGGTTATGTCAGCAGCTCAATGAAGTAAAGACAAGTAAAGCTATACCGTTACACACCATGTAGGCGCTTGGGGGAGAGGTAGTATAGCTCCTACTCATTCTTAACTTCGGCACTAGATGGGGTGAGTGGTCAGCGTCACGGCCGGCCGTGCTTTCCCCCCGGGAAAAGACCTCGGTATCCATTGGATAGGAGGCTGTGTGGACCCCAGAGCAGGTCTGGTCTCGATAAATAGTTTAGTACCGTGTTAAAAAAGAAATATGGCGTCAGTTATTTTCCAACTAGCCACAAACCGACCGTGAACATGCCCAGAGATAGTTTCATCCTACTGGACCAACGTAGTAAATAATGTATCAGTTCATTTATTCTTACAGTACCTGTATAGATTATGCTTAGATGCTAATATGACAGAAATCAAGAATCAAATGGAACAAAGAAATAACATAATGAGAATGTAAAATACTGGTAACTCAACTAATTCTAAACATAAGATTCAATGCTACTTACTTATGTTAATTGTGCGGGTTACGACAGCAACATAGTCTGGGGCATAGATGATCATTGCTCAGACACTGGGATCGTGGGTTTGAATCCCACCCAAGACACAGATATCTGTCTGCATCTCTGTCCTGTGTAGGTAGGGGCCTTGCGACGGGCTGATCACTCGTCCATGGAGTCCTGTCAAATGTCTGAATAGGTTAAGAAGCCTCACACATCTGAGGTGGCCAAGGTCTTTCAAGAATTAAAGATCCACTGAGTAAGAGCTGTAACTGCAGTTTTTATATAAAGTACATCGAATCTCTTCTTAACAGACAGAAAACAGATTTCAATGTACTAGTTTATATGTTTGTCTGAAAACTACTACTTTTGGTTTCTGTAAGAATATGGTTACTTTGTTGGCAACATTGTTGTGCCTCTCTGTTGCCAGGTTAAGTGGTAAATATAGGGTTTGAAACCTTGAAGTAATTTGGATGTAGTAATAATGAATAACGATGAAAACATGACAGACCAATGAAGATTTTAGTTTATCATGAACTGGCTTAGGAATCAGAATTCATGGAACAGTATTATTTTAATACCTTCTAAGTTTGGGAAATGCAAAAGAAGTTATTACATATTTTATAATGTTAATTCATGGGGCCTTGGGTAGCTGCCTCACTTTATCTCTCACACAATTTTTTTTTTCCATGGGAACTGGCTGGTGTATGGTCGAGGTTGTTGACACCAAGGCAATCATGTATCCAACAAAAACCTATAATTACCTATTATTATATAATACCTGTGAGCAGAAGAAAATTTACATTCAATGTCAACCGTATTCATTAACTTCCATCTTACTACTACTACTACTACTACCCATGGCTCTCTGACACTCTGGAGTGAGATGCAAACATTATTGCTAACCAGATACAAGTAAGTAATCAATTGCCAACTAAGGTGCTTATGTTCCTGGCAAATACTGCAGTTGGCAAGAACAAAGCCTTATAGGAAATTGAGGTTAAGAGAGCCCAAATGGATTGTTGAAGTCTGTGATTAGCAATACTATAGATGATAAGGCATTGCTGTATTTACATTCATACCTCTGATCCTATTACATACATCAGTTACAACAAGGACAAAATTGTTTGAAGCATCAATCTGGGGAATCTTCTTGGATCCACATGAAGTGCACAGTCTAAAGCACACTCCAAGTGTCAGTATTTGTATGGGTGTAATTTGGATATAATTTTTATTATTATACAAAACTGGGTTCTGCCCCCCCCCCTCCAAAATATCTGAAGGCAGCATGATTTAGTTTTTTTTTTCTTTCCAGGCCAACAGCAGTCTCAGCAAGGCCCAGTGAGTGAATTGTGTCTGGGCTGCATATGCGAGGCCACGTCCAACTGCAACAGGTCCCTCGGCTGCAATGGCGATGTGTGTGGGCTGTTCAGAATCACATGGCCATACTGGTCTGATGCAGGCAAGCCAGTCATACCACAGGACCACCCAGACAATGAAGGAGGCAAGGGATTTTCTGGTTCAGAATCATTCACACATTATAAATTCTTGAAATTCGAACAATGAGATTGTGCTCTTTTGTTTTTAGCATATGTCCGCTGCGTAACAGAACCATACTGTGCTGCAACTACTGTGCAGGGATACATGGCAAAGTTTGGGAAGGCAAGTACCAATTAGAGGAATGTTCAAGTTGATAAATGATGAAGGAAGTAACTCTTATGAGAAGAATTACCTGCCAGGAAATATCTAGAAATATTAATGTAAATTAAATATGTGCTCTCACTGTTTCTCATATATTTTTGCTGAAACTAACACAACGGAATGTAGTAAAATTAAATTATTTCTGCTACATTTAACATAGAAAGAACAGTGTGTAAAGGTAATTTAAATTTAAGTAATTAACTTGGTGGAGCAGAGTACTTTTGAGAAGCTAATAGGCACTTAGCTGGTTAAGATATCTCAAACGTCAGTCATTTACGAGGGTCGCTCATTAAATAATGCCCCACATAATGCGAGTCATCCTATCCATGCCCTGGTTCCCCAAGTGCTCGGTTACCTCCATGTCTTCTGACTAAAATGCTGTGTGTAGCTTTCAGCTCTCCATTTCTACATTCCCTGCCAATCTCACCATCCTTAATTTCACCACTGCTATAATATTTGAAATTATGAAGACCCTCACTACGCAGTCTTCTCCCACCTCCTAATATTCTTCGCTTTAGGGCCAAATATTTTTCTTAGGGCCCTGTTTTCAAATATACGCAATAAATGTTCTTCTGTAAGGGTGTAAGGCCAAGTTTCAGACCCATATATATAGCAGCACATACAATTACATTCTTTGTTGTTTTTTAAGCATCAAATTTTCCAATTTTTATGTTTATGTTGCTGAATTCTGTAGCCAATGCAATTTAGCACAGCAAATTTTCAAAATTAAGTTTAAACCTTTACTTTAAAAGAAAAGTTCAGCTGGATTTTAGGTTTTCACGGTGGTGAGTCTGAAAATGGCTGTCTTCTGGGTTGTTGTGCTGTGTAGTCTGGTAGAAGTTTACCGACGTTTCAGAGGTCCTTGCTGTCTCCATCATCGTCCTGATGGTATTCATGAAAATTAAATGTGGTTTTCAGTTAAAGTACATGAGTAACCCTCAATATAGTACACAAATATTTTTTTTAGTCATTACTTTAAATAAATATTACAAATATTGAATTCTATCTAGATATTTTTCAGGGATTACATTAAAATGTGTTGAAATATGTATTCAGAACAAGAAAATTGCTCGTCTGTGTTTTCCAACATCAGCTGAAATTGGAATTTGTGCATGGATGTCCACTGTTACATGCTTAGTCTGGCTCTTCATCAGTTTTGCAAAAAAATTTGACTATAAACTGTTCACAGCGGACACTGATCATACTGGCTACAGTACTACCTTGTAAGGCAGACCAGTTATTGAATTGTTTTGGAACATTTTGTAGGACTGCAATGGTGATGGAATAGTGAACTGCTTTGACTATGCAGCAATTCATCGCCTAGGAGGCTACGGCTGTTCAGGAGCACTGGACTACAATTACCAGAACAAGTTCATGAACTGCCAGCGCCAGGTGCAGCAGCTTTCCGAGGGCAAGTAAACAGACATAAAATGTCATGCTACTGCCTTCACAGCGTGGATATGCGGCAGTGCTTCCCCTCTTTATTGGCTTCAACAGTCACCATGTTTCTGCAATGTAACAGATCACCTACTCTGTGGTCTTGGAACAAACGCCTCCTGTGCAACGCAGCTACATTCTTTCACCCTTGGAGAAAAATACCACATTGAAAGTAACTCTTTATAGAAAGGTATTCTACAGCAGAATTCTGCCTTACATGATCCTAGAATTGATCTCAGATCTCCACTTCACCAAATTAGTAACTCACTATTACAGTGGAAATCCTGTGTTATATCATCAGTTTCAATAAAGAGTTAACAAATCTGTTTCCACTTCAGGATTATGCAGTGTTTAATACAAATAATATGTTTATGTAACTAATCATTTTACTGGAGCCAAAACTATATAACTGCTTCCAGGTTTTCTTCAGTCAGGAAACTGAAGCCAAGTTTCAAATATGTTGTGCGACTGTCAAACATCCTCACAATAGTGGATAGAGCGAGTAGCAGTCATGAATTCACTGCCTTCAAAAATGACATTTTTAGCATCTTTTATGAGGCACTTTTATTTTTATAATATAAATTTTACAATAAAGTTGTATGTTATGCATATTTTTCTTCTGTTTTTTCTAGTTTCTCCCTTGCTCTTTAAACCAAGTTAGCCAACAATAGAAATATTATCATATAATTCCTAAACCGGTTGAATCCAGTTCACATATAGCCACTTTTCATCTGTATCTTACAAAGAAGATTAACTCCATGAAGAACAAGTGACCACAAAGCACAGTTGTGCTTGTACGTAAGTGTCAGTGTCGTGTCATGATAAGCTAAGTCGTAGCACTCACAGTAACTATTACTCAACATCAGAGTCCTTATTCATTAGGATGGAAACCTAAACTGGACATCGGCATGAATCACTGGTGATATTTAGTGACAGCAAGCAGGCTGAGTCATTCTAGATTTATACCAACATGAATCAGGTAATTCTGAGCTGGAGGTCAGTTAATGCTGGCATTTAGTACAAAAGAAAATCATGTAGCTTCGTATGGAGACCCACTACATTTTATCACCCTTCAATGCGCTCTCCTTATTTCATAGCACTGAAGACATAAATAACACTGCCTGAAATATGCTGTGTTAACAAGACCGGAAGGTTCCATATTTTAAGCTTCATACTATAAGATTATAATTACTGGATTCCCTGTATTCAGTTTACTTCTTATTGCAAGGTATTATCTAATTGTGGTATCTAACAAATGTAAAGGCACTGAATTTAAATGTACACAGAAAATTCATGGCTCAAAATGGGTCTTGGAAGTTACTGAGGAACTCCTGGAAATGCACCCAATTTGTTTTTAGAAACTCAAGAGTGACAACAGTGTTAGTGAAATAAGAATGGGCCATTCCCAAGAACATCTGTTCCCAGATAATATATTTACTTACTATACGCCGTAATATTTCAACTATGGCGAGACCGAGTGACCGATGAAATGTCTACAGGTGCTGATTATAAACCTGCTTGAAGTACTTTTCACAATGGAAGTGGCTCAGGAGCTCCTCAATGTTTTTAGACAAGCGTTCCTCCACTGCAGACACAATCTTCTCCTTGTTACTGTCAGTGGCATAGTTAGCAAGGAAGGACAACAACCAGCTAAAGCCACCTTGGTTGCTGATGTGCACTTTGATTCCACTCAGTTGCGTCACCTTCAGGCTGTCTAGTGTTGCTCTGCACCTCTCATTAATGTACGTCAAGGATATCTGTGAGTGACCAATACACCAAACATTAACTTATATGTAACAAGGCATCAATAACAGTAGTTAAATTTCCTATACAGAAAATTAAATGGTTATACTCCAAAAATTTTCTGATAACTATACGTTCTTTACATTATGTGTTGTACGCCATACACATCTTTCATCTCATTTCTGGCTCTACAACGCAGTGTGGGCCTTGGCCGCCTCTTCTGGATGTTACTCGATCTATTTAGACATTTGGTAGGAATTCCTTGGAAAAGTGATCGGCCTATCGCAAGGCCTTTACAAGACAGCACAACACAGAAAAACGCAAACAAACATCCATGTCTTGAGTGGAATTCAAACCCACGGTACCAACGTCTGAACGCTCAATACCCATGCTCCAGGCCACAGGGACCAGCATACACACCTGCTGCCAACTTTCCTTGTCTGTCTGATATCAAGGATAACATTTTTGAAATAATACAGCATTTTCTTCGAAACTTTTAAAGGGGTCAGATCAGATGTCATACATTCATAACCCACTGTAATGTGTGTACAATGGGACAGTACATGGATTACTTACAGACTTCAAGAAAGTCTACGATTCAGTTATGAGAGAAGCGCAAGATATACCCATGAAACCAGTTGGTCTAATTAAAATGAACAGTCATATACGTAATCATTCCTGTGTGTTATTTGATATTAAGTACTAAATGAGACCTTCAACACACTTGATGTTCTGCAATTTATGTTTCTCTATTTGGCGACATGTTGTGATAACCTACAATATATTTCATATGATTGTGAAAACTCTATGTAACAACAGTTCCATTCAGTTTTATTTTGAGCTTATGTTACTTTTAACCATACCTTTAATTTTCCACTTCCTACATTTTAATTCTATTTTCATCCCTAGTTTGCATAAGATGCAAGGTTTGCGACAGGAAGGTATGCTGAAACGTCAGCAAATAAAGAAACACAAACTGAATAACATCAACTGTGTTGAAAGTCTTAGTTACTATATAATAATGAAAATAAATTTAAAAGAAGCCTTAGTAAAGTTTGTATATGCAGGCATCTGCCCGATCCTATTGTGATTCGGAACAGTCTGAAACAAGAAAATACTTTACAGTTGTCACTTTTAAACTTTCTTTAGAATATTCCAACAGAAAGGTTCAAGAAAATCAGGATGGTTTTGGAACTGAATGGGACACATCAGTTTCTGGTCAATGATATTAATCATCATCATCATATTCATCAAGTATTAGGCCAAGTGGCCTGTTACGATTTCATTCCATCTTTTTAACGGTCTTCCCAGGCTTCTCTTTCCATCGGTCTGTTGAAACTTGAAAGCAATATAATTGTCCTGCCCATTTGGTCGCTGGCCAAAGAGCAGCAAGTCCACTGGTAGGAGTGCTACCTCAGCCCCTGGACAGGCTTTATTCAGGTGGTATTCCCCCCAACCCAGATGAAATGGTTATACCGCCATGACTCGGTTGTCAGAGCCTCATTTGTGGTAACAGGGTGCACCGCGAGAAGGTGAGTTTGACAGTAAGGTAGGGGAGGCTATAGGAGACTCGTCCTACCCCTTAATTATAAACCTAAAATATAAATAAAATGCAGAAGTTCAATCAGAAATCAGTAAAGAAATTGGTCTAGAAGCACATAGGTTACTGTCAGAATTATTGGTAATTAGTCACTCACCTTGGCACTGATAGAGTTACAAGGGATCGTGCCTGAAAGGGCTCCACTTGCTTCAGTGAAGCCTAGATTCGCTTCAAATTGGTTAAACC